GTTTCTAGTAATCATGCTTACTAAGGCCAGTAGATAATATACTGTAAATACTGCCTGTGTGTGCTTTTTAAGAAGTCGCACCCAGTATGCACTCCCAATCTGTGTGAGGTAATAGTGATTAGCAGCTGGATAATAATAGAGCGTTTTTAAAGTAATGCACAAGTCCTACCATGCCCTTTTGTCGAGCAGATTGCCGTCTATAGACTACATTTAGACCTACTACAGTATCTATATGTAGTAGTATGAAAACACAGTATCAGATAGGTACAGTAGGACAGTCTACATCAGTGCAATAGGAATAGGGCAATATCAGTGATGCTCGTAGTATTAGTGATAATGGTGACACTAGCACAACAGGGTTCTCCTTGCTTTCTGCCCTCTCAACTCCATCCGTCAGGCTACGTCATCTTATTGGTTGCCGAAATTTTATTAGGAAATAGCTCAAGTTTACCATGTCTTTATGTAAAATGGTGCCATTTGCGGTTAACCGGCTAACCTTTTGCAGTATCAAAACTCCGTCTTGAGGTTCAGGGTAGGTCTCCTGCTTCATAGGGTAACAATCTGCTCCACAATCAACTTATATTGCTATATATCCTACACGTTTATCAGTAGCTGACTAATTCTTAATAAGCGTAACAGTTGGATAGAGTTGAAAATGCGGAAACCAAGGCAAACTTTGCTGTTCCCAGGGCCCCAAGCATGTATTTACTCGAAATAATTTAAATCCAGATTCACACTCCTTGTTGAGACCAAGGGGAGATGAGTCTTAGCGTTGGCTTAATCAGGGTTACCTCTGATAAATGGTGGTGCCAGTGATAGCACCAGTACTGCTACGCTTCTTGTTGAGATTGAGGGGATATAGCCCAGTGCTGACTTTAATCAGCGTCACTTCTGACTATCAAAACAGTCAGTAATAGCACCAGCAAATGCAATCACTCAGCTACACCCTAGTTAGTAGTATTAGAAATAACACTAGTGGTAGTAACTGTATCAACCCTGGCTAGACACATACTATAGGTGAGTGACGGTAGACAGTGCAGTAGTACCCGCGCAAAGTCTGCTGTCACTAAATACCAATTTAGGCAGTGTCTCAGACTGCATCTGGAGGAAGCGGCTTACGCCTGATTCGGTCATCTTGACTTTGTCTTGTCACCGTTTGAAGCAGAAGAGAGGGTTTAGAGTGGGGTAGATGGCAGCTCGTCTACTTTCACTATACCTGGTCACAGCCACCGTCCTTGCTCTCGGGGAAATGGTAAACATTACCAATTGCCGTGGTCTAACTCACACATAACCACGTTGTCCATATAAAATGGGCATGGCTGAGAATAATATCCGAACCCTTGCTGCTACGGAGGTTCGTGAAACGGCTTGGTCAAGGCGTCCTCTCAACAGTTTACTTGGAACATTTCACTGAAAGGGAACTTTGAGAAGCAGAGTCTTCTTTTCTGCAGTAAATGTGATGTGTTTTTCTAGTCTCGCGTCAACATTCTATGCAATAAATCTATCAGGATACTTGTTCTCGCAAAGCAGGTCTTTGATCTTACTAAGTTCCTCTTAGATACTCTACTTAACAAATTTTGTTAGCCCCTTGGCCGAACACAGGAGGGTTCGCAACTGCCAAGGTTTGTGTATTGTCCAGACCCGGTTTTCTTTAGATGAACGTTTCTTCAGACGCTACCATCAGGACTTCGGCTCAGAAGGATGATCCAAAAAGGGAGCAAACTTTCTCTTTCTACCTCCAACGTGCATTACTTCCGTACAGAAATCCCAGATATTATCCCAGTCATAAGTGATGGCCGTGAATACGCGTTAAGTGCTACCCGAGAAAGAAAGTGCAGTCTGTCGAAAGTTTTTACGTAACCGTGAGAGCTATGTTTAGGATACCGTGTCCAGGGTAAGGGTCCTTCGTCATGTGAGGCAAGGTCACACGTGATCGTCTGGACGCGCGTCTTTGTCCGTGGTTTGGTTGGCCGAGGCGATTACTTCTACCAGAATTGTTAGACTGATTGGATGACCATGAAACACGGGCTATGCGCGCATCTGTAGTGGCTATAGTTCACTGTATTTGTGCAGCCTTCGACGCAAAACATTTCAGGTTTTTAAGTCGATAAATCAGTACACCAACTGGTGCGCCACCTTACTTTTTCTCCTAAAAGCGATGGACTATGCGTACATCTGTAGTGTTTATCATTCACAATAGTTGTGTAGCCGTTGACGCAAAACGTTAAAGCTCTGTCAGTCGATATATAAATTCCTCAGTTTGGGTGAAGTAATCCGCAAAGTGATATACTACCTCATCATTCTTTGAATTCGGATCAAGAGCGTACCACCAGTTACAGATTACTGTGAACGTGTATATACCTAGAGCCTTGGCGCAGGTCGGTAGGAATGGGAGTAGACTGGTAAGTGTACGTCAACACCTGAGTCAAAGTAAAAAAATTTTACCACGACCTCCGGACGAGACGTACTAGAGAATTGCCTAAATGCAAACTAATGAAAAGGTATTAAAACCGTAAGTCAGTGTGGCCACTCCAGTCGATTCATAAACCAGTGCTGGTTGGACGAAGAATTCAAATAATACTGACAACGGCTGATAAGTCAGAAATGAGGGCTGTGGTCTTCCCGTGTTTGCCACACTCGACATAATTCTCTATAACCCACAATCGACATCAATTTTACTGCGAACTTAAGATTTTCTGCAACTACCCGAAATAGTTGCTCAGCTATAATTTGTTGTAAAAATGTCAGTTGGTAAGATGGTGGCGTTCAGCACACTATACGACATGCATTCAACATTTCCTTAGGAACCAGTAATTTTGTAAGCCATAGTTTATGGTATATGGTTCATGTAACACCGAGTCCCACGCCCTTAGAGGGAAGTTTCACTTTTGGTGCAGCGATAACGATTTGCGCCTCTCTGGAAAGTACGACCTAACGAAATACTTGCAGCCAGGAAACGTCGGTTCAGCTTGGTGGAAGGTAAAAAAATGAAGGAATTGACCGATCCGCAAAAGAAAGAAAAATGACTTTTATTTGTTATATATAAGCAGAAATTTTCTTGATGGAGGTAATATTTGGGAGAAATGGGACAGAAATCAGCCCACAACTATTGACTTGAAAATCTTTATTTGAAGGTAACGACGCGCGGTTACTAAAACGTAAGTCATGAAAAAGCGGATTTGTCTTCGCTTCTAGCTTTTAATTAGCCATCGCAAGGTTCGAGAAGGA